AAATAGCCAGCGAACAGTTTGATAGTAGTATCGACACTTTGGACTTTTATCGAAGTCGACAGTTTTTATTATTTTTCGATATCATCTTTTAAAAGTGACTTACAAACCCAGATCCTTTTTCCTTGAGACAAACCGTTCGATCAATTCTAACTTTCTTCAGTGATTACTATAAATCATATTTTCACATCGTTTCTTTACTTCAAAAGGCACAACTCAAACACAACAACATGATTCTTGAATTATTATTATGAGTTAATAAATATTACTCTATTAATCATCAAAAACAAACTGTCTTAACTTTAAAAATTGTCAAAATTAAAAAGATTTTTTTAAGAATTGTGAAACAAAAATGATCATTTCATGTTAAGAATATATTCTTTTTGCCGATATTATTCGATTAGTCAATCATTTTCTGTCGAGTTAAAAAATAATTTTTTTCTCTTTTCTGAAAAATTTACATTATCGCTCCAAAGTTTGAATGTACTACCCATTTATGAAAATTTCATAATATATATAAAGAATAAAATATGAATATAATTTGCATGTATTATATTTTTAAATTTATTATTACATATATTTTCATTAAAACTGGAAAATGAGTTTATTTCTTTTTTTAGATTTTTTTTCTTAAAACCTAATCTTCTCCAGTTTTAATAAAAGCTATACTTTTGGTATAACTGAATATTCTGATGATCAATTTTTCAAGTATCTTAAATAAAGATTTGTATTGAATTTGTTAAACTTTCGCCGAAATATTTATTACATATTACTCTCTATTATTATTGTTAGTAACCATAAGATCCAAATACTTATCGGTGTCTAAAAAAAATTGATATCGATATTTTTTTCAATCGAGGTGCACATGATATTTATCTATTTGCGAAATTTAATATATATATATATTTTTCATAATCGGAAATAAGAGAGTATATATCACATTACATTTCCGTATCTTATACAAGAAAAATGTAATTGTTAGTAAAAACATAAAGACGTGCTGAAACTTTCGAATAATAGAATAATTGTTTGAGTTGTGTGTTTATAAAATAAAGAGACGATATATTAAAAATATAATTACAGTAATTATACTTAATCTTTCTGATTAATTTTCATAGTGAACGACATTAATCAATATCTGTTATAGATAATAATATTCGTTGTTGATCCCCTTTTCTGAATGGCCATTTCTAGCCTCGGCTCGCCTCGATGATCGCTGTAATTGATGGCATTCACATTACCAACAACTGACGCTCCGGCCTAGCTGCAGGGATGTATTGTCGACTTGTTCAAAGGATAATCTTCAATTTCGAGTCAGATCCCTGATTAGTTACCTCGCGTCGCACTACGCGTCCGTCGGCTTCGCAATGAGCCTCTCATGGCTGAATTTATAGCGAAATTGTGAGTATAAATTATTCAGACAATAAATTAATATTAAAATAATGTAAAGCGATGTAAATGAAGCACCGATGAAGATTCAATAGGACCTTAATTTTTGTTAATACAATTAAATAAGGAGAGAACGCGTTGAGAGAGTAACGACAGAAAGAAAGGAATGGGAGCACTGAGAGTAAAAAATGGTTATAATTATTATAATAACTATAATTCAGTGTTATTTGTAGTGTTCCAATTATATATTTTTTGACAGAAATAACAATATAATTATTATATAGCAGATGCCCAATCTTAGCTTTGGAGCCAAAATGTAAGGCCAATAAACGCAAAAAAAAACAATACATATAGGTAAGATTTCGGGGACTGTAAAATAATAATATGCATCTAAACGATGTTTATTTTACAGTCATACCTTACAGGACATTTTACAGTTCCTGAAATCTTATTCATATTGAATTTTTTTTCCGTCGACGATTTTGCGTTTTGGCTTCAGAGCTAGAATCGGACAGGTCTGTTATATAGCAATAATAAAGCGATATAAAAATGTAGTTTTTAATCATATTTTGTTGTATTTACCATGCAATTATAGTCAAATACCAAACACTTTTCTCTCAGTGCAAAGGGTATATTTAATAACACAAAATTGTTTCAATACTTGAATTTGAAATATTCCAGCTCGATGAGTTTTCGCAGGGATAATATTGCGAGGACGCGATATGTGTTAGCTCCGATGGAGCTCGATTTAGGTCCTTGACGAGCGTATGCACATCACTCGATACACACTCGAGACACTACCCATCTCGAGTGTCGACGAGCTATAAATACGGCCCTTCAACACGGAGCCTAGTAGTCGAGACGCGTTCAAGTGCAGGCGGCGGACCATCATCGTCATTATCAACATCATCGTTAGCACGACGTGTTGCATCGATCGTATCGACGTCCGGCGGACGGCGACGGCGTCGCGACATGGTCGAGAAACATATCGGAGGAGGAAGAAGAGGCTCCCGCGCGTGGTTTTCTTTAATGTAATATATCCGCCAAACGCGATGACAAGGGAAATCGCGACATTCCCACGCGCGTCACGAGAAACACTACGGATAACGTTCAATGATGTGCCGTAAAGGGGTGGGAGATGGACAAGAAGGGATGAGAGGAGTAAACGTGATATACATATATTTATATACACAAGGTCTTCAAAAAGTCTGGAAACACTGAAATATTTCGGAAACGATCAACTCTACTGAAAAATATATAAAAGCAAAGTTGTAGGACTTCAAAAAATCTACGTAACTGATGATAAAAGATTGATATTGGATGGAATCTGCAAGGTCATATAAAGATCATCAAGTTGAATTTTTTAAACAGGACCTCCCTCTTTTTATTACATAATCTTATAACTTATTTCAAAACACTATAATAAAATATTTTTTCATTAAGTACTTTTCAAATTATAAGGCTTGAAAGTTATACTCATACAGCACCCATACAATACAGAAAGATTGCAGAAATATTGCAGAATGATTTCATTGAAACATTGCAATATTGCATGGTGATTGCGAACCGTTGCTGAATCATTGTTGCAAAATTTCAACAATGTTAAGATGTCCGCTTTTTGTTATATTGCAGCAAAACGTTCAGCAATATTGTAATGTATTTGGATAAATTTTTTACAAAGACTCTAAAATGAAAACTAATATACATACAATATATCTCACTAACTTAAATTTTTCTACAAATCGCATTTCTAATGATATGTACTTTCCAATTTTTTATGATAAAACCATACAATATTTCAATAAATATAGTATTAATTCTGAAGGATAAATTTATTCGTAAGGATAAAGCATGTATGTGTGTCCCGAATAAATTACACACAAATATTATCCATATTAATATAATAATACAGTCGCTTGGTAAGTTAATCATGAATTAAGTTAATCGCAGTGGTTCTTTTTAATTCGAAATCATTCTGAGTCAATTGAAATCGATTAAAAAATGACGGTATGATTTATCAATGATGAAGTTTGGGCGCTGGTTTCTTCTTGCGTTCACATCAGGCATAAATACATCATCGGTCACATAATTAATATTTCAATAAATCGGTTTCAGCAGCTTACTTGCTTATCATCTTATCTAATAATGATTCATTGATTATATCCAAACTCGATATTATACAATCTTTTGATTTCATTATTTAAAATAAATATAAAATTTAGCTGATGAAATGGCCGTCAAATAATAGATCAATAAATTTTTTAGTTAAATATAAAATGAATTATATTAATTATTATATCATAAAAACGGCTGTTAAACCAAAAGACTGTATTACATAAATATTGTAAAAACTTATATTTTTATATTATTATTATCGTAACAATTAAAGAATTACAGTTTTGCAATGTTTGTGGAATACAAGCATATTACTGACATTTTGCAGGCATATTGTTAATTTACATTTCTGTAATACCTCTTTATATTGTAATTTGCAATATTGCAACATTGCAGCAATATTGCTTCAATCTACTGTGCTATATGGGCAATATCGCTGGCAATTAGCATTACGCAAGGTGTTCGACCGACAGCTAAAACCTCGTGAATCACCTGGATAACATTTGTTAAGATCAAGGCCAGTGGAGATTATTCCTTTTAATTTCATTTTTGCACTAAAAATTCATTTTTGCGTAAAAATGAACTGTAACTTTCTGAATGATTACTGTAACTTTCAAGCCTTATAACTCGAAAAGTACTTCATGAAAAAATATTTTATAGTGTTTTGGGGAGCTCTCGAGATGTGCTATAAGAATATGCAATGAAAAAATAGTTCCATTTAAAAAATTCAACTTGACTTTCATACCTAGCAGACTCCACTCAAGGTCAACCTCTTATCATCAGTTAGGTAGATTTTTTGAAGTCCTACAACTTTGCTTTTATATATTTTTCGCTAGAGTTGATAATTTTCGAAATATTTTAGCGTTTCCAGACTTTGAAGACCCTGTATATACAATATATATAATTACTTAGCTAATTGTCTATATTTGAGTTGTTTCCCGTGGGAACGCCTAAAAACGCCTCGGGTCTAATCTTTCCCATTGGAAAAAACATTAAAAATGTTGCGTCGATATGGAAAAACGTGTGCCGTAATCACATGTACAGTTACAATCTCGTAATATCTTGCGATGCGCTTACAACAAATTTGTGCCTACGTTGTGTATGTGTGTATGTATGTGTGTGTGTGTGTGTTTCTGTGTGTGTGTGTGGACTTGTGTCGTGGCTTGCTGCTCGTTTGTAATCCTAATTAGCTAGCGTAGTCATTACAAAATTCTTACAACTATTCAACAAAAACCAATCTCGTAACAACTCTTATCTACTTGTTATTCGTCATCGTTCGCACATGCACTTTCACCCTTTGATCGCCTTTCTTTCTCTGTCTTTCTTTCTCTCATTCGATCTCGCACTCTCTCTCTCTCTCTCTCTCTCTCTCTCCCGCCCCTCTCTCTCTCTCTCTCTCTCTCTCTCTCTTTCGTCATTCTCACAAAAAACTTTCACGCGCGCGCATTACACCAGTTCTTAGTCGTCGTGCGGTAGTCTCCGATTGCGGAGCATTGCGGAATTTTCATGGAAGAGAGTACCAGTCGCGGCTATTATCGATTCAGCTAAATTGAGGCGGTCCGCGAAAAAAGGCCAGGCTGAATTAATAGCCCTGCGAGTAAATCCTATTTTAAAGCCCTCATCATTTAATTCATTCTTGACGATTTTTATATTCGATATATTTTACTAAAATTTTTAATTGTTATTTTTCTCCGATTTTTTACCGTCTTTCTAACGCTTAGCGAACTAGGTATATTCTACGGAATATTCTCGAATATTTTTCACAATTGATACAAATTTACTGAATAATATAGTTTTAAGAGATCCGATAAATCCGTTTACGGAAAGAGAGCTTTTATAGCCGCCCTTTGCCGCGGATTGCCTCGATTGCGAGCGATAAAAACCCACAGATAAATCGTACCTTGTATCTGTCGATCTTCCATGACAATTCATTGCTTATCTATATGCAAAAGGAACGATCTTGATGTGAGAGATACTTTTATTAAATGGAAAATTAATTATGATAAGAAGCGATTGCAATATTCGCGATAATTACGACTTTTATATCGTTACCAGTTACTGTTAACGTAGAATAAACCTTTCCTATAAAAAATAATTTTTGTCTTGAAATGAAAGCATCAGTAATGATCAATTTGCAATGTGTTTTGTGAGCTTGGCTATGTTCAATATCTAGAAAAAGCAACTTTGCAACTGTTATAAGCTTCTTTAATATAATTGGTTCTTGTCATTAGTTTCTCAATAGATCTGAATATAAACCAATCATAATATTAAGGAAACTTATAACAATTGCAAAATTGCTTTTTCTCCTGAAGCTATTGTTACGTTATAATTAATGCCGACTTCTCATAGCAGCGAAACGTGCGACTGTTCTTAATGATAAAACTGTGGTATCGTTGCTTTTGCCAACCCTGGTCGCAGATCGAGATTACCGCGGACGATTCCATGACGGAGTCAAAAACAAGAAACGGGAACTCGAGTAATTTTTCACATCATCGAGCACGAAGAAATTATACGCGGTCGAGCGGTCTATTGCGTAAAGTATCGTAACTCAAAAAATAAAAAGGCTTCACCATCGACGAGCAACGCACACATGAATTCGAGTTAATTCTTTCGCGTTCGTCGACTAAAAGTGCCTCCTGTCTTCCTCAGGTCGCACCCTTAATTGACCCATCAAGGCCCAGAAACGTTCTCGGAATTGAAAATTCTAAAAACTCTCTCTTAGGATCCTTAAAAGTTATTTTTAAAATTCGAAGTTTCGCAAAGATATTCTCTAGGCCCGCGCGTTCATACGAACGTAACAAGTAGGTATGACGCGTCGTAAACCTTTTGATGAGATGGAGACGCGCGGAAGTCGCCATCAGGGATACGAGTCGCGAACAAGTCGTCCGTCGTTGGCGAAACCGGCTTTGGGATATCATTCAGCGGCGGATAGCGGCGAGGCCCTGTCTCGAAGGATGAGGGATCACAGATCCATCGTTTCCGGAGGACTTCGCCGCGACGGGGTGATCGCAAGTACCCTGTCATTGTCGTCGTCGTCGTCGTCGTTGTCGTCATCGTCGTCGTCGTCGGATATATACGCGATGCGGATCGGAGCGTGGATTTTTACATAACGGCACATTTCTCCTTAAGTCTTATCGCGTTGTTGCTCTGCACCGGCTGTAACGAGACCGAGCGGTTCTTCTCGAGGGTGAGCAGGTCTCGAAACAGGGCGTCCACGTTGTGATTCGTCTTGGCCGAGGTCTCCAGAAAGCCACAACCCCAGTTGGCCGCCTCAGCCGCGCCCTCGCTCATCGACACCTCACGCACCGATGGACTCTCATCGCACTTATTCCCGACCTGGACGATGAATCAATGATGGAACCGCTGAGTTGCGCAAGAAAAACAACATCGACAAAGAAACTCAAGTAGGAGGGCTTCATGCAGGAATAGAAATCCTTTCTTTGGAGGAAACCAAATTATATGTCGCAAGTCAATCAAATTTCGAGAAGAAAGAAATGCAGATTTGCAGCGTTAACGCTTTCTTCAAATTCCTTTTCACGTTATCCGAAAATTAATTCTTGGCAAATGATGATGGCAAATTTTTAAAGCTACTGTCTTTTTTAATTTTGAATTCAAAATACTAGTATGCCATCGATAGATGAAATTTTTTAAAAAACTTTTTTTAGAAAATATCGACACTAAATGACTGCACAGTAAAATTTAATGCAAACACGTTGCGACTGAGCCGGGACTATATCAACATTTTGACGTAAGAGAAAATAAATACGCCCCTCAATAACAAAAAAAATTCTTTTACATGTAAAATATAATAAAATATAATATTATAATTAATGATATTCAACTCTCCGTCAACTATATGGAATTTTGCCCCTTCGGTAGCAATCTGCGTCTTTGATCTTTAATGCAACTTTTTATATTGTTCTGGATTGTATAAAAATAGGAAAAAATTCTTGTCTACTTGTAAAAACTTTAACAAATTTTTTTATCAGAGAAGTCGAATTATATTTTAATTATTTTTATACATTTAAATTTATCTATCAGAATTCACGATAATTGAAATATCGATTGCGCCTTCAAAGTCCAACTTGACCGACGGAGGGTTAATATATTAATATTAATTTAATAAGAGAGATAATCATAGATATTTGTAATGAATATGTATACAGATAGATACATCACAGATTACATGCACACGTTACAAACAAAACATAATTATCAATCAGAATATTGTATATGTGTGTATACATAATTACATACATTTTATATTTACAAATAATAATAATTCTTGTAAAAATTCATTATATTATAGAAAATTTTTTCATTTAAAGTAATACTTTTTGTGTTTCAAATTGTCTTGACTTTTATTTATTAATATATAGCGAGCGCTCAATGGCGGGTAATTATAGTCATCATTAGCACTATTAGCAGTAAATAGATTAAAATTATATAGAAATTTATGTTATCATTTTTGCGTTCCTTTAAATATTTTACAAAGCAAGTATTTCGTTCGCCATACCTTATAGGACCTGGCAAACCTGGCTGTGCATCGCGATAATTTATATCATCTAAACTTCTGTGCTCGACGAACATCTTTTATCAAGTTGACGACATGCGCGCGAAACAATATCGCACGTAACATTTTTTTATGACTATTTAAGTTATAGAAAGTTGTGCAAAGTCATATGAGATAAGCCAGACGACGTATTTATTAAACGAGAAGTGCAGAAGTGTTCGTTCGTATAATTTATTGCCGGCTTTGGCATCGGGGAAAGAACTGAAACAAATGGAGGAGATTGCGACAAGTCCTTACCAACATAATGGGTATCTGCGAGATATCTTGGCCCTTGAGTTCCCTTATCACGGCCCAAATCGGTCGTAGCTCCTCGAGACTTTGCCGTGAGCACACCGAGTATACCAAGATGAAGGCGTGACCTTTGCTTATGGAGAGTCGCTGCATAGCGGGAAACTGATGGGACCCCGTTGTATCCGTAATTTGAAGTGTGCATATGTTTTTATCGCAACTTATCACCTGAAATACCGTAATGCAATCCGTTGACTTTGGTCGCAAGGCTTTGGGCTTCGATCTGATCGGCTCGACTCGAGGTCACGATTCCTGATTTGACTCGACTCGGGATGCACCGAGTCGAGTCAAAGCAGGCCGGCACTGGATTGAATCGAGCTAACAATCGGAAACGCCTATGCGACTCCATTGGTGACACTTCTCGTCGCGCACACAGCGAGAGTCCCACCAGCATCGTCATTGTGTTTTTACGTATAAATATATACACACACGAATGTACATTTCTGTTAAAATCTTACGGACATATGTGGGTGCCGTTGTATTTACACGCGTGGCGTATAAATTATCGATGAAATCGAAATATATTATGTTACTGCATTGCTTTAACTTGCACTTGTACAAATAATGCCCATTTTTACTAATGTAGATTAACTTTAATATTTCTGTATTAATGTATGAATATCTATATCGAATTTTTAGCAATAAAAAGTTTTATATTTTTACGCGAATTTCGTTATGACGTTTCAAAAAATTTCATCTTTCGAATAGTTTTGCATAGATTTTATCTCGTTTTCACTTTTATATTTTAGCATGAAACATAGTAGTGAAAAAAATTTTTAAATGTGAAAAATTATGCATCGACAGAAGAGTTAATCTCATTTTAATGTACTCTTTATTTTTCTTCAATTTTTACAAGAAAATACACAATGTGTTTTCCTTCGATTTTGATGAGCTTTTAATACGTTGTCTAGACCTTAAAAATAAAGAATTACATTGCGTGATGCTTTTTAGGCTTTCATGGGTATTATTTTCAAAGATACCAAAAGGTTTGCGGGTTATCATCATGTTTTTATCCATTGATAATACCAACGTTTCATGAACCTTGTCGTTCACTTCAGGAACTGATATTGTATTAGTTACAATGCTCGCCCTAATGAAGTGAGGTTCACGTCATAAATTTTCTGATATTTTTGAATTACACCGCATATTCTTTTATGCACGCTCATGCGCATTTTTAAACAACATTATTTTAAGAAACATTCCTTTGACATCGGTTAGTTTCGTTCAAAGCGAATATCGTTAAAAATATAAGACAGAAAATAATTCTTTACGATCGACTGCTACCAACCGAAGATTAGTAAAAATTAAGGGAGTATGCGTTTCACCGAGATGGATCAGTTCTTACCAAAGATCTTCATCATTGCAATGCAAGTATATTCTTACCAACTTTTGACTACAGACTTCTTATTGACCAAATTTGATTTAAAACTTGTAATTACTATGAATTTCTTTATTACTAAATAAAAGTATTTTTAGTCAACGTGCAGTGATCATAATTGTTATAAATGAATTTTAGTATGTTTACTGCAGAGTTAAGAACGTTACTTAAAAAAAACGCGTTGCAGTTATTTTTTGTTAAAAATAACTCGTTATCATTACTAATTATTCATTTTAAAAAGTAACGTGTTACCGTTACCGTTACTTGAAAAAGTAACGAATCGTTACTTTTTCGTTACTTTTCGTCACGACAGCTCTGGAATACCATATTGGAAATGGTAAAGATCTCAATTTCGAAATTTTTTGTCGTTCTCAGCATAGATTCCACCTCACAGACACATATTATGCATTTACTTTAAATCTGGAAAAGGATTTCAAATCAGTAAGAAAGAAAAAAGTAATTGTTATACAAAAATTATATGGTTTAGTCGATAATATAGACTTTAAGATCCTCTTAAAGATAGAAAAAAATTACGATCGTTACCGAAAAAAAATAACAAAAAAAGTAACGCGTTACTTTCAAACTTTGATTCACTGATTGAATGTCGTAGAAATCTAAGAAATAAATAAATTAATCAATGAGTTTTTAAAGGGTGTTTTTTTAAGCCCGATAGATTTTTTTAAGCCCGATAGAACTTAAAATTGTAAAAACTAAACACAAAAATTAAATTATAATCAAAAAATTTTTTTTAGTCGAAAGATCAATGCATGGCATTAACATTTGAAAATGATTTCGGGCATATGGCCACCGCGGCTGTTTAATTTAATTTTTTGTTTTATTTTTTACAATTTTAAGTTCTATCGGGCTTAAAAAAACATCCTTTATAAGCAGAAAACTGTGTGTAACACCCTTCTTTCACATTAGAACTGTTGGAATATAATCTAAAAAAACTGCAGGATAGCGCATGATTCCGCATGAGAGTGATTGACTCATAGTCAGTTGACAGAGCCCAAAATCGAATCCGACGAATTCAGTGAATGATTGTAAGATATATAATTTTAAAGCAAATATCCTAACAGGCACATCCTCAGGATGATCCTGTTACGTCTTATTAATACGTCTTAAATATCCTGGGACGTATATGAGATATGTTTAGGACATTATACTTACAAGAATGTCCTTAGTCTTAATAAATAAGCGCTTAAAAATGTCCTAAACACCTCCTGAAGACGTCCTGTAAACTATCAAATAAGTGCCTCATTACACTCTAAATCTATAGCAATAAAAATTTTACTGCTAACAAAAGTGTGTAGCAAAGTCATTATTTTAAGTGTGGATTTTCATTGCTTTGAAGTTAATCTGTCTACTCTTATAAGGAGTGGGTTATTTCACTCGATCAACCAAAGTGGTTTAAGCATTGATAATGCAATGCAAGATGCATTGAATGTTGTACTGCAACGAGTTTAGCGATATAACGCACCGCTATGTCGTTTGTCGTTTATCATTTGTAGTTTGTTAGGCCTGGTCTACAATTAGTCGAGATACGTTGTCGTATGTTGTATGCATGTGCGTAAGGCCTGTTTTACAATAGAGTCGTAAGCGGTAAGCTGTAAGAAATTAATCAATCATAGTCGATTATTCTTCTCACGCTTAACTATGATTGGCCAATTTCTTACGGCTTACGATTTGCGACTCTATTGTAGAACAGACATAACCTTCATTTTTCATATCGGCTGTCGATGCCGGACGTCGTTTGGATTGATCAGGTTCCATCTTTTAGAGAACAGAATAAGAATTTCACAATACATGATTCTGATAGGTGAAATTCTTATTCTCTGTTCTTTGTTCCTTTTATTGTGCGGAGCCCCTTACGATTAACGACATCCAACAACCGTCAGCCGACTTGATCGTAGACTAATGCGAAGTATGATTGTATTTTTTTGCAACGAAGTTAATGCATATAATAATATTTTGTAAAACTTCACTAAACCATTTATCCATGAACATCCGGATATTCTTTTTATTAGAGTCGGTAACGTAACATCACAATTGCATATAATGTCACGGATTATAACACCAAGATGGAAAGCATACTTTCCATCAACATTGATACTTACATGATTATACAAAGAGATCCAACAAAAAAACTGACATCCGAGGTTCGTAATTTTTTGACAAGATGGAAGAATAACAATTACATTGATCAATATACTTTTAGGTTACATGACAATTTTCATTAAAAAAGAGGGGATAATGTGGGTAGCAACAAAAACCCTTGAGGCACCACAGTTTTATTTTCTACGGATTCGTAACATTTATAAGTAGTAATCCGTTAGTTTGCGCCGATAGTGGTCGATCGAGTGTAAAAGTAGTGCAATACATGATAATTCGTGAACTGTTCGTGAATGGCTGTCATCGCGGAGGTTTCGTGTTTTGACAATTATGTGTATCAAAAGGTTAATAATCGTCTATGAGATTACTCAGATAAGTTTCATTAAGTATTTTCATTACAAAACCTTTATTCTTACTATTTCATAAAAAATCAATACTTTGTGTTATATATTTTATTTTCAGTTATTGATTTTCATTTTCAGTCTTCATTATCAACGGTGTTAAATTGTGCATATCAAATTGTGCATTGAAAAGGAAGGAAAATTAAAAGGAAAGAGAGGAAAAAGAAGAAAGGAAAAGGAAGAGAGATGTGGAAGCATAATCTAAATCTGAATTAGTGAATAATCACTGACAACAGTCCTAAGGATGCCATTGGCAATGGTAATCAATTTGTCATAATATTTGTAATACAATTATATTTTAGATTTCAGCGGAGCACATAAAAGCATTCAAAATGAAAAGATAGAAATATTTTTTATTGTTCAGATATAAGCTTGATTGTCAATCTTAGTATTTGAGACACAAAATACAAAATATTTTCATGTGCTCCATTGAAATACAAAATATAAAATACAATTGTATTACGAAAATACTGTTTTTCAAATAAAAGTATTTCAAATACATGTCCAGCCCTTTATATATCTTGTATTAATTGTAACTTATACAAGTATATGGAAGGATCTTTAACAATCTTACCAACTTTTCACAAAAATAAAGACATGAGAAATGCAGTGAATATAACAAGATCAAAAGAAAATGATCATAAATATATGTAAAATAAAACACAAAAGTCATGAGAAATAAAATGTAAAATTTATGGAAGTTAAATTAAGGAATTACAATTTTTCGTAAGTTTTGTTGTTTATTTCTCATGATTCATGTATCTTCCATTTACAATATATTTATCATTTTTTATTATCGATTTGATATATAGACTGCACCTCTTAATTTTTGCAACAATTATTACAATATTTATTAAAACAGTCATTAAACGACAACTATTAAAATATTTATTAACATAAACAAATATTAAAATATTTATTAATTAATCTTGTTTTTTCCGATAATTCATGTAGAATTAACAACAAATCTATCTCACAAAGTCGATTTTTTATGAAATAGTAAGAATAAAAGTTTTGTAATGAAAATACTTAATGAAATTTATCTGAGCAATCTTGAAGACATTATTAATCTCTTGATACACATAAATGTTAAAACACAAAACCTCCGCGATGACAGCCATTCACGAACAGTTCACGAATTATCATGTATTACACTATTTTTACACTCGATCGACCACGATCAGCGCAAACTAACGGATTATTACTTATAAATGTTACCAATCCGTAGAAAATAAAACTATGGTGTCTCAAGGGTTTTTGTTGATACCAACATTATC